CGAGTCATACGACCGTTCAGACCACAAGCTCATACATACATGCATCTGGACTCGGTACTTGCATTCATTCATACATGCATCTGGACTTGGTACTTACATTCATTCATACATGCATCCGGACTTACATTCATTATCGTGGGGAGTAGCGATATAAGCAAATTGGTGATGTACTACTGACATAGGCTTACAGGACTATTCCCGAAGTAACAAAGGAAAAGAAAGAAAGAAAAAAAAGAAAGGGAAAAAAAAAAAAAACTAGGCTGGTCCCCAGGCGGCCCGGCTGGGGGAAGGTCGCCTGGGTACCCTCCTGGGCAGCCCGGGCCGGACAGTGGCCGGGCAAAGTCCCGGGCAGCCCCAGCGCATAATATTAAAAAAAGTAAAAATTTCAGAAATTTCAAAGAAATCTGGAAAAAAAATATGTTGTATAAAATTGCAGTACAAGCAACTTTTGGCTGAGGGTCCCCCCGAAATTCCTTTTCCTTATTCATTTTAAGACAAAAATAAATGAGGAGAAATGACTCAAATGAGGTAAGATATACCCTTTTAAACCGCTCTAGTAACTGTTTAGAGTAACTTTATGCCCTCCAAACACCCCTGGGTGACCCACCACCGAAATGGAAGGTAAGACCGGATTCTGACTGCTCACGCCGAGCGCAGTCCTGGCCTGAAGTCAGTTTCTTTTTTTGGAGATCCTTCCCTCTTTTTTGACCCGCCTGGTTTTGCCGGGCGATACCCCCCGGCCCAGCTGGCCTGGGCATGCCTGGCCGGGCAACGGCCCAGCCTAGAAAAAAAAAAAGAAAGAAAGAAAGAACCGGGCAAAGCAGCAACGCAAAAGCATGGAGGCAACACATAGGCTGTAGGGCATGGGGAGGCAATAGGGGAAGTTAATACACGAGTAATCACAAAGGCATAAGGCGGTAAAAGGAAAAGAGTCAAAAGACCCGCAGGATGGAGAAGACAGTGAACAGCAACCAAGAAACAACCAGGCAAGAGCAGGGAGGCAACACATAGGCTGGAGGGCACAGGGGGAGGTGGGAGGGCAGACAGCACACAAGGTACTAAGGGGGAGAGATGTGGTGGCAAGGCATAGAATAACAAACAGCAGCGAAAGACAGAGGCTGGAGGGCAGATGACACACAAGTATATACCGAACACAGACCAAGCAGATGACACACAAGCCCACCAGATAGACAAACTGGAAAAAGTACAAGCCCCGAATATTTCCAAAGACGGAAAAAAATCAAACTGATGATAGACTGTTTTATCGGAGTTGCACCGACTCGTCAGGAGGTGTAACATATCAGAAAGTGAAATGCACTGAAAGCCTAGGATCTAGCAATGACGAAAGTGGCAACAACCAGCAGCATAGGTGCAACATTCACAAGGTGTCAATGTGCGCGACGCAAAGAGTGAAACAACGGGAAATCAATAACAACACAT